ACACACACACACATACTTATAATATATATATATATATATGTACACGTGTATGTGCATGTATATGTATATGTATATGCATTTGTGTATGTATATGTATATGTATATGTATATGTATATGTATATGTATATGTATATGTAAACGTATATGTATATGTATATGTATATGTATATGTAATATGTAATAAGTAAATATGTACACGTACATGTATATGTACATGTGTCAGTATATTTATATAAATATATATATATTATATTATATTCATATAGTCAGGCATTCAAATTTATTTGATTATGTATAGTATGTGTACTTGAACACTTGGACATTTCTGTCACATTCCTTGCTAACATCTACATAGTAATATACAAAGCTGATAGCCGACTTCCGGACGTACGTAGGCAATATTACAACAGTGTAATACCAACTATCAGAAGCAACTCGGATGAGAGCAGTATATGTTATTCTACATAGAGTGCAATATCTGGGCATGTCGATGAGAAAAAATGCACTGAACACACATCAATAAAACAGTATCCTACCCTGCAAATGCAACGGCAACAGCTTCCAAAGCCAGCTTTACATCGACGTGCGTGTAGTCTTCTACCCAGCCCATCTTGGCAAATGTCGCCTTCATCGCATCATCCAGCGCATGTCTCACTTTAACTGCATTGTATTTCTCAACCAGAACTCTCTCCTCTTTCACCACGAGCTTCTCGTCTATAACGGGAGGCATATTGAACTTAATGCGTTAATTAGGGACAGTCTAGCGTAGTGTATGGTACAAGCATCTGCAGTCTGCACACTGCAAATCCATACCTGGGGCGCACATCTATATTTCTATTCGGGAGGGATTTTAGAATTTTCAGATATTTCAAACACTAAATCAGTCACATCAGTACCGAACTTTATCCGGTATTTTATACTATCTGGTTTCCACACTGTACTCCGCTAATCAAATCCCATTTGAACAAACCATTACATATTTTTACTACATGATGCTACATGATATACATAACTATATTTTATAGCGAGAGAGAGTGCGAGAGATGTACGTAATATATATATATTGATGTACTAGTAGGATTAGTAAGCTATATTCAATTAACATATCTACGTACGTCTATATTCAAAGTGTTTTCGAGTATGGAAGGTCTGCGTGTGTCTGAGTTCTACAGCGGAATCGGTGGGCTGCACTGTGCGTTTGAAACATGCGGGACGAAGGGAAAGGTGCTGCACGCGTTCGACATCAACACAGCCGCCAATGAAGTGTATAAGCACAATTTCCCGGATACAACCGTACACCAGCGTAATCTGACCTCTTTTTCAATAGGTAAGGATGTATATTATATGTTAAAATATGCCAAACTCAATGCATGCCCAGAGCCACTTCTTGACGGAATGAAATACAAGTGCTGCTCGCGTGCAATTGTGTCTGCGATGATCCGGGCAGCCGTATTGCTATATACAATATTTTCTAAAGTCAATATGCATCGCTGGTCGTTATTTGCGCACGATTTCAGCGATTGATTGCTATAAAAATTTGCACCAGACATGCGAAAGCAAAGGGCCGCATGCCGATTTATATTGTCAAATACGGCGTAAAATGCGATTGGCGGTATGATACGAGGTCAGTCTGATTTAGAGAGGTGACCGACACTCAAATCGCCTTATGGTTCTGGGAACATATATGTTAACAGTGCATAGCCTTCTGCAGTGTCGTATAATTATATGTATACACATGTGTATCATTTACCACTACAAATTCTTCTTATATTAGTATATTGCTGTATTATGTTATTTTATGTTATATATTGTTATTTTGGTATGCTATTTAAAAATTTATTGTTATTTTTTAAAATATTAATATAATATTGTATATCTATATATGTATAGCACGTATGGATACTGTGAAGCTTAACGGAACGCAATTTTTGCGGTTGTTGCTGCTATGTATGCTACGCCGCATTATTATAACGTATCCGAAACACAGTGCAGCTTGCCACAGCGATATGCTGGCCATTGTTCATTCCCTCACGTACAAGTTCTCTATATTATGTCGCACCCATAGTATCGGGCAGCTAATTACAACATTATGTCCAACAGTCATGTAATTTTAGACGAGGTTATTCTACAATAATCAATTTCCTGGTTTACCGCGCAGCTGCCCCCGATTTCGGCTTCAGGGTGTACCTAAAAGTATACAAGCTTCTGTGCAGCGTAGCACAGAAACATGCTGACTTGTCTATACTTATCGTTATTCTAAGCTTCGAACACGATCACGCATCAAAACTTGTACAGCTAACCACAACGCTATGCCAGCGGATGTGTGGCTGATGTCGCCCCCGTGCCAGCCCTACACACGACAAGGCAAGCAGATGGGCTCAAAGGATATGCGAGCACAAAGCTTCATTCATCTAGTAGACCTCTTAGGCAATCTGGATACTCCCCCCAGTTATCTATTGATGGAGAATGTATTTGGCTTTGAGGTATGTGATCTCAATTATGTTATTACTGTGGTAGGGTGTTTTAGGAGTTTATGGGTTTGTGCGCGCATGCTGGTCTGTTTATGTGTGTATAGAGCGTTTGTGACGAAGCCGGCAGCATACATATTAAGTCAACATCGTACAATGTGTGTACTTGCATGAAATATTGCTTTGTGTATACTAAGACCACGTACACGTGTTTCTATATTTATTGGCGCTGCTGATCCATACTTGACTCCTCTTTCTCTCACAGTGACAATACAAAATCCAGTCAACCACGTCGTTCAAGTCCGCTGAATCATTCGTGGATGGCATTCTTCTCACTTTGCCGTCACTTTGCTATTACAGAAATCGGACACGCACGAAGTGCTCGTGGCACAGCTGACCAAACTCAACTACACATACCAAGAATTCTTGTTGACACCCGACCAATTCGGTATCCCCAATTCGCGACTCAGATACTTCTTATTAGCCAAACGAGCCCCGCGTACGTTCAGGTACTACCTCTCTGTCATATAATGGGCAATGCAAGCTTAGGCACAGATTATACCTCATTTTGCATGTATATAATACATGTGCACGATTGAGCATATATTCTATGGAGCTCGCAGCTTATAATATATATATATATATAGCGTTTGTGTGATTGTGGTAGGAAGTCATGGACTCATGGCATGACTGTAAATATATGATTGGAGAATATTGTGTTTTCCAACGGGAATGATGAATGCAAGTTGGACGCGCTTGTCCCCTTATACGAATGTGCCTCGTCCACTATGGATTGAAAGCAATGTTGTCTGTAGATTCCATTTCATTTGGACTTCACAACGCCAGCAGAATTCCGTGAGATTTGGTTATGATCGAGATGGCCGAACATCTCTCCGAGTAACTACTTTGCAAAACTATATTTACACACCAATGTGTTAGGAGCTCTACTCGATATTGGACTTCGGTCCAGACAATCATTCCAGGCGTTGAAGAATGCCCTCCAATTCACAATGTATATATGTATTTACCATTATATTCATGCAATACATCCCGCATCATAATCTGTAAACACCTTTGCTTTCGAATATCACATCGTCGACAGAGCTCCATGCGATGTGGGTGTGATCCAGACAACCATCCCGGGCGATGGAGAGTGCTTTCCAAGTCCACAGCACCACAACTACCACTATACTACGAAGGCTGATGTGGGGACATCAGATGAGTCGAACACAACAGAGGGCGGCAATCCCGCGATAGATGTAGCTGAGCAAACAGCGGAAGCTGATGATAAGTATGCTAAGTGGCGTGCGTGCGTGTGTATTTG